GGCAGCAAGACCTCATCTCTACAATAAATCAAAAAATTAGCCGGGCATGGTAGCGTGCGCCTGTAATTCTGGCTACTCGGAAGGCTGAGACGGAAGGATCGCTGGAGCCCAACAGGCGAGGCTGCAGTCCCGGGAGCGGCCACTGCACTCCAGTCTGGGCGACGAGTGAAACTACAACTCAAAAAAATCCAAAACAAAACCAAAACAAAACAAAAAAATAAACATTTTTTTCAAGCTATCTAAAATGTATACATGTAATAATTTTAACAGCTCTTAATGTTGGCTAGTTACTAACAATACTCTGACTTAAATTAATTTAACATTTGATTTGTTTATGTGGCAAAACAAAGGCTTTTTTTTCACATTAAAACATTAAAAGTACTCATTCCGAGGTCTTGTTGGATTTGACCACTAGATGTCAGCAAGAAATTACATAACTATTTTACCTCAGAAGCAAGTAACAAAAGTGTTAGCTTGTAACCATCCAGAGAAAGGTGTAGATAATGTTTTTAGAACAACATTTTGCAAATAGTAAGAAAGCATGTGAGAGAGAAAAAAAAGACCAGATGCAGAAAATCAATACACTGCCTCTTGAGCAAAAGCAATGTCTTGGGGCTTTATGTGTGCATTATCTATTTACAGGTAAAATGAATAAGAATCTATTTTTAGCACCGAAAATCCCATGTCCCCAGGAAACTTTTCAATCCTGGGTGAATGGGGACCATCACTCACCTCACTTATGGTATGGACACATTCCAAAAAGTATTTAGGTCACTGTTGTTCTCAAAACATGTTCCCATAGCAGTATTACAAAGTCCATTAGGTTTTGCAAGCGGATCCCCAAAACGATATAACACAATGTTGAGCAATATTTCTTAGGGTTAACAAATTGCAATGGAATAAGCACAAGACTAGGAACACAAGATTTGGGTCTGGTAAATCTACTACCACACACTCACTGTGCAAGCTTGAGAAAGTCCCTTTCCTTAGGTGAGCTTTGGTTGGTATCTCCAAACTGCAGATCAGTTTAGATCTTTAGATGTAAATAGGTAAATTATATCCAATCTCACTTAGATTAGGTGTTTCTCAAATTGTAAAAAAGGGGTTACTGGATGTTCACACATTCTCTAAGACTTTTAAGTTTGAGTTCATTTTTCTTCTTTATTTTTCATTTTTCCTTTTTTTTTTTTTGAATCAGGGTCTCACTCTGTCCATCCAGGCTAGAGTGCAGTGGCATGATTCTGGGCTCAAGCAATCATCCTGTGCCATCCTCCCACGTAGCTGGGACTACAGACATACACCACTACACCCAGCCAATTAAAAAAATTTTTTTTTTGTGAAGATGAGGTTGTGCTATGTTGCCTAGGCTGGTCTCGAACTCCCTAGGCATAAGAAATCATCTCACCCCAGGCTACCAGAGTGCTGGGATTATAGGTATCAGCCACCACACCCATAGTAAATTTGTGTTAATTCTGAAGGTAATCTTATTATTATTACTATTATTTTGAGTTGGAGTCTTACTCTGCCACCCAGGCTGGAGTGCAGTGGCATGCTCACAGCCACCCCAGTGTTGACCTGCCGGGCTCCCGCGATCCTTCCACCTCAGCCTTCTAAATAGCCAGAACTACAGGTGCATGCTACCATGCCTGGATAATTTTTTATTTATTGTAAAGATCAGGTCTCACCAGCTTGCCCATTTCAGATCATCAATAATGGATCTATTTAAAATTAAAGTATTGATAATTTTTTTAAAACTGTACTATATGGAATTACGGAAAAGATTTCAGGGATTTTCAAAGCTAATTTTCAGTCCGTACACAGCATAAGAGTGAAGAAGAAGACGAGTGGCATGGGGTCAATGAAACTGGGAGATCAAAGGTTAGGGGGGGACAGCTGCTCTGCAGGTCTCAAAACTGCCACCATAACAAATGATGGCACCACATGTCATCACGACGGCAGACCAGTATTGTCAGATCTTTCCACTATCCAATCTAGAAATCTGGATTCTTATGTGAAATATTCCAATTTCTAAATATTAACAACTAATTTTTTAAAAAAACCTTAATATTATGTAGATCAATTGATGATCTCCATTTACAATCTCTAATTTAAGTCCTTTATATATGTACATACAAATAGAGAACAATGAAATTATGCTTTTTGTTATTGTTGATTTAGACACTTCCTATTGCTCGATGCATTTTGAAGCAAATAATAATAATAAAATAATTGGCTGGCAGCAGTAGCTCATGCCTGCAATCCCAGCACTTTGGGAGGCTGATGTGAGAGGACTGCCTGAGCCCAGGGGTTCAAGACTAGCCTGAGCAGCTTGGCGAAACCTTGTCTTGACAATAAATAAAAAAATTAGTTAGGCATACCTATAGTCCCAGTTACTTGGAAGGATGGTGCATACCTACAGTCCCAGTTACTTGGAAGGATGAGGTGGAAGGATCATCTGAGCCCAGCAGGTCGAGGTTGTGGTGGCCGTGAGCATGCCACTGCACTCCAACCTGGGCAACAGAGTGAGACCATGACTCAAAAAATAAATTAATTAAATAAAATAATTAATGTTTTTGTTTTTACAACCACTCAACTATTAGGATCTGAGGATAATGAGAGAAATTTACCTAACATAAAAAGGAAATACACTTTCGATGAATATTATTCTCTGACATTTGACATAAATGTCTTTAAGTTATCAAAAACATGTTTTTTAAATTTACTATAGCTATTTTGATGCTTTTCTTTTGAAGACCCTACTGGTTTGCAATTATTGTAAACATCACAACAAAGTTTCTTAAAATTTCTAGTAGAAGACAGGAATCTTTATTTTTATGGCATATTGACTTTACATCTTGTATAATTATTTTATTGTAGAAAAGTCCATTTTCCCACATATACACTTATAAGTAAATACTTAGTTTTCAAAGAGTAAAGCTAATCCTTTAAAACATGTAGCATTTTTTTCCTTACCAATTTTTACTGACTTCATGAAACTAGTCAATGAAAGTCAAATAGATGTTTTCAGCCCATAACTAGTCTTTATTTTTTAAAGATAATTTTAAAATTTTAATTTAAAATTACTAGACCTCATTCCCATTAACTTTCAGGCATGCTATATTTAGCTCAGGTTATTTCCTACAACTGTATATTCTCCAGATCAGGAACTGACAACCACATAGCAAGCTTTCTGAAAATGACTGGGATTCCATTTATCACAAGAACTGTTAGCAAAGCAGACATAGCATATTCAGAAACAAAAGAAGTCAAGGTATGGTTGTTCTTTTTTTTCCATAATCCTTTTGAAATTTTGAAAAATGCAGTGATGACAAGTGAAAAGAGAGGAAACTTGGTTTTTTCTGGAGTAAGACACATCTGCTTAATCAGTCTACAGTAAGAGGTTGGAAATTCAGTCTTCTGTTGATGGTGAAACCAACTACATAAATATATGTCACGTCTATGGAATTCTAACATTCCGCAGCTGCTCCTGGAAAAGCTCAAACAAAGAATATAACCGCATGTATTCCACATATGCTAGGGAATCTTTCTCCTTAACACCTATGCCTCCCCACACAAAAAATAAAAAGCTTTTAAATAAAAAAAAGATGGATGCAAAATAGGGTATTCAAGACTAATTTTAAAACCAACATCATATAATTGTTACATTTAGAGTCACAAAATGAAATCGAGCCCAATAAAAGGCAACCGGACTGCTCTGGCTTTCTGAAAGAATTTCTTTTAAATCATATTCAAAGATTATTTCTCAGTAATATCCAATCTCTGTTGAGGTCAATGTAAGCTAGAAGCCCTGCATTAAACCAGAGAGAAATCTACCAACATCGTTCTTGCTCTTTCTGCCTTCTAATTGTGTTGACATTCTTTCCCCTCTTATTTTTATCTAAACCTGATTTTGCTGACATACTTTCTTCTCCCATCTATCTAATTATAATACAAAAATCTTTACTTTCCCAGGTCTTTAATCTTCCTGGCTAGCTTTGATTACTTGTAAACAATATATAATTCTTATTTAACTTATGACGTTTTAAGATACTTGCAAACCAATAAGAATTTCAAAAGGAAGACATCAAAATAGTTGCAGTAAACCAAAAAGCTCAAGGCAAAGAAGTTTAAATGTCTTGATTGAATTTAAGATAGGGTAGGCACACACACAAAAAAAATTCATATACCACTTTCATTTAGGCTTATATATGTTATATATAAATTCAATGTGCTACGTGAAATCAAACTAGTTTTCATTTTGTCACTGAACCTCAAACAGTTGATTAACTTTGGCTTAATTATGTTCAAATCTAAAATTATGACTTTTAAATTAATGTTTTACTTGAGAGGGAAACAAAATGTAACTGCATGTATAGAAAGCTAAAGAATCACAGCATGTATTTTTTAAAAATAATTTTCTAAATAAAATATATTTAGAGGAAAAGTCTTTTCTAAATTGGTTTGACAGGTCTGAATGCTCAAGAATTAAAATATGATAGCATTCACTTTATACATAAATGGAAGCCAAGTTTATTTTTGACTTTGTTGCTTTTTGGTTTATATTTTGGTATTTTAAAAATAATGCAAATAATTCAATCAGTTCAGAGTGAGCTATAACATACACAGCACATAGTTATATGCAATGCAAATGAGTCTGATTTTTAAAAAGAAACTCAATATAAAATACATGCTTTATCCTCCAAAATGGAAAGCCCATTATTAAACATGTAAACATTTATTGAATAAATGAATAACAATATTCAGTAAGGAGTTGTCCCAAGGTTATAATATTTGTATTTACATCAGGTAAAAACTATGAACTTGTTAGGTGAGAAAACATTGCTTACAATAAGCCTTATGAGCAATATTTTCAGGTGACACTTTTCCATCTAAGCCTCATCTTTGATTTCCAGGCTATATGGAAAGCGAGGAACAGGACTGTCCAAGTCTCTGGATACATGAAGCATATAAGTCTCAGGCTTACCGGAAATGCACAGGGATCCCTGTCAGGTCTAACAGGCCTTTGAGCTGTAACTGATATTCTTCTGGTAGCTAAGGAGAAGGTAACCACCCCTAAGCTGTGGGGGTCCGTGCATTCCTGAGAGTACATCAAACACAAAGCAGAAAGAGACAGGGATATCTGGAATTACCACTAATCTGATCCTAATCTACCTTTCAGAATCCAATGGGAAGAGTCAAATTCAAATTATTTTCAGAGACACAGAGGGAGATAGACAGTAAAAAAGAGAGATGGGAGAGACAGAAGAGATAGAAGTGGAAAGAGAGAGAGAGGGTTTGAGAGAGGAATTGAGAGAGACATGTCTACAACCCAATCTCACAGAGAAAACATGAGGAACTCCCTGGTCCACCAAGATCGCAGGAAGTTAGCTAACACAGCCATCTGGTTCTCATTTTCATATTTATATTGTTAGGGTCTATTGTTCCACTATTTTTAGCAAAAGTTTGCCTTTGTCTAAATAATCACTGCCCTGGAACAAGTGGCAATGCATTAGCTTTTGTCTATTGTGGAGATTATGTTTTTATTGCTGCTCAAGTTTCATTAATTCAGTAGGTTGATGAATGGGTACAAGTCCCTGAATGTGGAAATTTGAGAACGGTAGAATGCAATTAACTTTCTAGTTTTAGATTAATTAATTCAATAGGTATTACCCGAGCCTGATACATGATTCAAAAGAGACAAAAAGCCCAATTACAACAAGAAGTGAATTCCCTTCCTTTCCCTCCCCGATCTGTTTCCTTTCCAGAGGCAACCACTGTTGTCAACACTTTCACATCTGCTCTATGCAAATATGACCGAGTGCTTGTGTCTCCCTCCTATTCTGTTTTTTGTCACAGTTACTGTGCTCTGCACATGGTCGGCAACTGCTTTTTTCACTTCATATCTCCTGGTGACTGTTTTGAATAAACATGTCCAGAGCTGAAAAGTCACCCCAAGTCACATACCTTGCCAGAACTCTGCTGATGGCCACATTTAAAGGTTTTTCTTCTTGGGTTTATAAAGGTTTTTCTTCTTGGGTTTGTAACTAAAACTTCAACTTATAGGCCTTACTGTTTCCTGCAAATTCCTGAATATCACTGACTTAACTTGAAAGACTCTTCTGGCTTCCAAGAAAATGTGGTGTGTGGAGAAACAAGGTGAACGCCGATGGGGTCCTGTATCTCCATGAGGCCTACAAGCCTTCATGCAGTAAACACTTCATTTCTGTGGCTGTGTGAAACACTGGCAAAACGAATGAGGACATGTGGAACATGAACAGAGTATCACCACAGGGGAACCAGTGTCATAATGTGCCTTCCTCAGTTGAGGAATTCAGTTTGGACTCAGAAAAATATCATCACCTTAAAAGCAATGATTCCTGATTTGTCAGTAAATTGGAAAACTTTTGAAAGTAGTACGCGCTGCAGCAGAAATATCCTAAATTATGAAGTGCGTTCCAGACTTCAAGAGAAGGTAACAGATTAGCAGCAAATATAACTACACTGGGTTTATTATTAGAAAGTTAATTGCATTCTACAACATTTTCAATTTTCCAAATTCAGGGACTGTACCCACCCATCAAGATTCCTTTGAACTCAACTAGCAAAACAACTAGCAAATACAGGCTCTGCCTTTCTGCACACTGCCTGTCTCTAAACAGCTATTAAAAAGGGGAAGGCTGCTGTCTTGGGAGGTAACTGCTTTCTGCAGTCCAAGATATGGAAGGATATCTTCAAGAATAAAAATGCCAAAGGGTTGGCTTGTCAGTGAAGTCAGGGCAGCTTCACTACAATGGTAATAATGTCTGATGATAGTGGCATCTTTTTAAATCACCCTCGACAAGCACTTGTATTCTCCCTTTCCTGTTTTGTGGGGTGTTATTGTTGCTGTTGTTTTGTTTAGGTTTAAACTCCTGGGTTTAACAGTTAAAACATGAGGCATCCCTCATCACCCTTTAAAACACAATCAGCTGTTGTCCAAGATTCTACTTGCCTTATAATTATACAAATCACCAAGAGGGAGATTGCAAAGCATTTCCTCAGGAAGGGTCCACTTTCCTTCTGTCGCTGGTGCAGTTCTCCACCACATTTGTTACAGCAACGACACATACAAAAGAAATACCCCACCAGAGGCATCAGAATAATAAAGAGCACTCCAAGGAGAGCGCACACAATAATCCCTAATTCATAGTAGACAACCTGCAATCCAAACAAAAGAAACATCACATACTGTAACACAAAATAATAAGTAGAACATTCCCGTGTAGACAGTTCATTTTTAAAAACATATTAGCCATCGTGAGTTGACTCTTAACGTGTATATACAGGGTGCCAAAAAATGTGTACACATTTTAAGAAAAGAATAATTTTATTAAAATTATAATGTTCAATATATACCGATAGCAAAAGATGAATACAAATCATGCCTGACTTCTGAAATTGCAACAAGTGCTCAAAGTCCTTTCCATCAGTGTCCGACACTTCAGATTACAGTGAACTAAAGTAATACATACATAACATCTCTAAAAATCTATATACGTTTTCTTGGCACCTGGTATATCTATATCTACATCTACATATATATCTACATATATATACATATATACATATATTCCATTGTGAAGCTCCTTCTTGAAACAGAGGAAGCAGAGAATTGAATTATTACACAGCAGGATTAAGTGGTTGCTATCTTCCTTTCAACTCCCAGGAAGATGTCCAATTGCAGGATCAAGCTATAAATGGTTTAATTTCAACGCTAAGGGTTGAAAGCTTTGAAAGCAGCAAATACTGCAGCAGAAATACGCTACCTCATGAAGTGTGTTTTGTTTGTTTTAAATGGTTTCATAAATCTTGGCAGGAGAACTTGCATAATGATTAATCTACACAGAGGTTGCTTTATACCAGAAAGATAGAATAAGTAGAAGTTATTAAAGAGTCAGAGCAGTTTGGATTAAATGGCAGTTATTTACAAAAGAATCATGAATGTATCTAAATGTAGAAAAAAGGCTCAAACTCTCTGAGTCAGGCATGTTAAACGCAGGCCACTCACTGAGCTTCTCCATGATACACTGGGAAGCACAATACGTACCTGGTCAGGTCATCATGAAAATTAGGGATAATGCATTATTAGCGATAATGTGCTCAGCAATGTAAAAAGCAAAGATACTTAAGGCACCTCTCACGTCTACCCAGGAGGCATACCCCCAGACTGGGTCCAGTAGCCTATGTGTCAGACAGTTTCTAACTTCCCAGGAACTGACAACTCAACTGTCTTTTATTTTCATTACCAAATTCCTAATTTTTAACGTGATTTACTCTCCAGCCCAACTGGCAGATAAGTAAGGAAAAGTCAAAGTACAGCAAGTCCCCCACACAAGTCCCCAGCAAAGGTAGCCTAGGTTCCCAACGAACACAATCGGCTATATAGTACTGTACTGTAACAGATTTTTAAAACTTTTTCACACAAATAATACATAAAAAACAAACACAAAAACAAAGAAAACATTTTTTAATATTACAGTACAAACCTTGAAAAGTACAGTAACACAGAATAGTACAATAGCTGACATAGAGGGGCTGGTATCATGACCGTATCTTGGAAAGTTCATAACTTGAAGGCTAGTATGTAGGGGACTCACTGTATTTTATGACCCTGTAACGCTGTCTGTTCTGTTGGAAGTGTACCACTACCACCCTCCCTCAAACTTCATCTACATATAAAAAAAATTCTGCTCCCTTACCTTCCTTAAACTGCCCATTTCCTTACTGCTTTCAAGTTTCCTTAGCTAACAATACTAACTAGTTGGCAGTCGGGAAACGTTTGAATGCATCTATAGTCTGCAGACCCTTGCATGAAAATGTCCCTCCTCCCTAGACTGAGCCAGGTGTAAATCTCACATGTATTGCTTATGGCTTTTTATAAGTTCTGTCCTCTGTAATTATATATAACCAGGCTACTATTCAACTATAATGGGCACATGCTCTCAGGACCTCCTGGGAATCTATGCCATGAGTCTAGCTCCTCAAGTTTGGACAGAAGAAACCATCCTAAAATATTTTACAGAGTTTGGCATCTTTTCATCAACAGAACCAGCACAATTTCTAGTTACAATCGTATGACCTAAATAGATTTTCATAATCACTGCTGGCTTTATTCCAAGATAAATGGAAATGAACGCAACTGGATGATGAAACTTGATCTCATTCCAATCCATGCATGCAGTTGCTCACATTTCTAAAGAATGGCAGAAAATTACAAGTTGGCAGCAATCTAGACAGCAGCTGATGCTGAAGCCAAGCTGAGCAAAGGAAAACAAAACACAAGTCTTGTTCCTGGGAGTAAATGTGATGTCTTGGAAGAAACTTGCCCTACATCCCAGCAGAGGGTTTCTGGTTCTCTAAACTGGACCACGTCACATTAGCATTAACCTTATAAGCATATTGTGAGGAGAGACCATAAAATTATCGAATGAGAAAACAACTAGCCAAGTGCCCAACCCACAGCAGATATTCGGTGAGTAGTAGTTATTGCACATGGCTTAAGGTTAAAAATGGCAAGAAGAAAAGTGGTTGGATTTTGCTGCATTCAAGTATATGCTCAGGCTTAAGCTAACCTCCCCTCCTCCATGTCCACCAAGAGTCATTATTAGCTGACTCTTGAACCCTTCCTTGAGGACCAATATCACTGGATAATTAAGGAACCAGCCAGACATTCCCAACTCCTACTTACATATTTTTCCATCCTTTTCCAGCAAATATTCTAAATTACTTACTATTTTAAAGGAATTCTGAATTATTTCCGAATCTCAAGAGATACTGAACCCAAACCAGGAGAGACAGTATATTGAAATGCTTTAAATGCATTAATTTTAGTTTTAAATGCAAATTTTATATTTTACATGACCTTCCTAATGTTACTATCAGGCAGCATTAGGAGGATAAATCATTTCAAGAGCTCTCTTCTACGCTAGATAGACTTAGACCTGTCGGTACCTAAAATTGTTTTGTGACACACCAAGATCTTCGAGTGCTTTGTAGATTATATTGAAGGTTTATATGTACATAGTAGTATAGCTTAAAAGAGAAGGCTAACATTATGGTAGAAACAAAAATAAAACGAATTCTAATTTAAAAACCATCCCAGTGAAGAATGGGAAGGCTTTCTAAGAGCTACTTGAGACGGCAAAGACTTTACCTTCAGAAACAAGAGTACATTTTCTGGCTGCAGAAGTCAACGCAGGTGAGGAGTTTGTGTTTGCAGAGGCAGCATGCATCAAGGAAGCAGACAGAAAAAGTTACATGAGTGATTAACCACAACCGAGAATGTTAATATCGACAGAGAAAAGTGAGCCATAGAAGGAGCAACACAAGGAAGAAATATAAAAGTTGAGTGTGAATTAGAGAAACAGTGGTTTAAATAGCTCCAGGCTCTGGAATTTACACTTGAAATTTACATTTGAATTTCTAGAAAGCTTCTAAGTCAATAAGCTAGCTAGATCTGGAAAGGAAAATTAGAGGGGAAAATTACAAGTGCTTAACACACTAACTATGTGATCTCCATTAAACGGAGAAACAGACACTGAGAACCCCAGAGCCAAAGGAAACATTTTCCAAAGAGCTTTTATCCCTCCCTCCCTCCCTTCCCTCCGTTCCTCCCTTCCTCCCTTCCTCCCTCCATCTCTCTTTCTCTTGTTCTTTTTTTTCAAGGTCTCATTCTGTCACCCAGGCTGGAGTGCACTGGTATGATCATAGCTCACTGCAGTCTCAAACTCCTGGGCTCAAGCCTCCCAAGTAGCTGGGTACCTGCATAACGAACATCCTCCTGCCTCAGCCTCCCAAGTAGCTGGGACTACAGACACATATGCCACCCTGCCCAGCTAGTTTGTTTTAAATCTTTTGTAGACATGAGGGTCTCACTATGTTGCCATGGCTGGTCTCAAACTCCTGGGCCAAAGCAATCCTCCCACCTCAGTTACCTAAAACCCTGGGACCACCAGCATCAGCCACCATGCATGGCCAAAAGCATCCTTTTCTGAAATGAACATCTTTTATTTTTTTTTATTTTAAAGATGTGGGGTACAATTCAGGGTTAGGTACACAAATGTTCGTTATGCAGGTACCCTTGTCGATGAGGTGTGCCCTAGTCCCCTGGCAGATTCCCACTACTGCCAATCCCGCATCCCACCCCACCCCCCCCAGTTTCCTGCTACTGCCAATCTTTTGAAATGAACGTCTGATGGTGTCATTCCCCTTGTTTAAAGCGTCCAGTGGATTCTCACTACTTTAAATCCAAACTTCTCAATGTAGGCCTACACTTCCTAAACTTGGCTTCAGGTCTCCATTCTTCTTGACTGTTCTTGACCATTCTGGTTTCCAGACAGCGTCATGGGCTCTCTCTCCACTTCCTCACTCTGGGCTCCCCCATGCTGCCCCCTTGGCCAGAACATAATTCCCGTCACTCTTCCCCAGATGAAACTCAAGTCTAAGTGTAGGTGTCGCCTCCTCCAGGAAGTCTGGTTTTGCTGTGCATCCTCTTTCATGTAGCCATGTGGAGCCCTACACTTGCCCTTTGACCCGCTTAGAGTAACTGGCTCGCTGGTGACCCTTTCTCCCAAGTACTCAGCAGGGGACATGGCCCGAAACAGTCACTCATTTATAATCAGATCAGCTGGTGAACAGAGGGAAGGTAGGCACCACCCTAGACCAATAATTCCTAGCCAGTGGTCTAGAGACGGAAGCCAGTCAGTGATGAGGGTGGACTAATCCTCAGAGAAGCTAGAAAAATAAAGCAGGTACAATAAGTTTTCTAGAAAGGTAAATTTACTCTATTTATCAGACTAGTTTTGGGGAGTAATATGTGTTATTGTTCTTATGGTTGGTTTTAAATAATTTTATGTGGCAAAATAAAATTATGTGGCTCTATGCCATTCCCTTTTTTGCTTTTTTGAAATTTTCTGGGCCAGGAATTCCATCAGTTTGGAAATTATTGCCTTAGCAGATCTGACAGAACAATGTTTATGTTATCAATCACTTTTTTTTTTTTGAGTCTTACTCTGTCACCCAGACTGGAGTACAGGCCACCACAGTCTCAACAGCTGGGCTTAGGTGATCCTTTGGCCTCTGCCTTCCAAGTAGCTGGAACTATATCAAATCACTTTTTTTTTTGAGTTGGAGTCTCACTCCGTTTCCCAGACTGGAGTGCAGTGGCACGTTCCCAGCCACCGCAGCCTCGACTTGCTGGGCTCAGGCGATCTTCTCCCTCAGCCTTCCAAGTAGCTGGAACTACAGGCGAGCGCTACCAAGCCCGGCTAATTTTTGATTTATTGTAGAGATGCGGTCTCGCCAAGTTACCCGGGCAGGTCTCGAACCTACGGGCTCAGGCAATCCCACTCACCTCGGCCTCCCAAAGCGCTGGGATTACAGGTTGAGCCACCAAGCCCGGCCTCAAATCACTTTTAAATGAGGCATCCAAAATGCTAAGGAGTGGGAGGCAGTTCAGATACTCCTGCCTCTGGCGTCACATGGGCATCTTGAATGACTCCAGCCTCTCTTCTTAAGTGAGTACCTCACGGGCTTGTTACCATATGGGGCACAAGCTCCCAAACTCACCAACCATAAGCACCTCCCAGTGAGTATTAAAAACACTGTCTTCTGGTCTCCTTTCCTAGAGCACGAGCCAGAAGATTTGGGTAAGACTAGAAATCTGCATTCCTAGCGTCTCCCAAATAAATGACTTGCCCAGGAGTCCCGGCTCAGGGTCTGCTTCAGGGGGAATGCGACCTAACACACCCAGTGTCTATCAGACTAATTCCAATAAGAAAGCACTCCTCCAGAGGTGCTCTGGTTTCTGTGATGTCTGTGCTTAAAAATCCCTTTTCTGCAGATGAAAACAGAAAACATGGTCCAGTGCCACAAATAGTGTAGGATTCAATTCATTCATGCAGGCTCGGGTCTGCAGCCTCTCTCCACTGCACGCTCACCTCGATGGTTTTTTCCATTTGCAAAGGCAAGAAAGGAAACCAGGAGCCAGTTGCATAAACCAAGGCTATGGGAGCTCTAAACCTAACGCAAAACCAGGCATGAAGGAGTTGCTGTCCACCTAAGACCCTGCCAGGATCAGGGGCAGCTCAACTCCAGCTCAGATTTTGCCAGCCTTCTCGATCACTTCGGGGTCTCGGGACCTCATCCTCCAAGCCTGGATCCGACCGAAGCACTGTCCTTTGCTCCCATTCATTTCTTGGCAGAAGTAGTTGGCATCCAGGCCCAGCTGCTCATTGAATACAAATATAAACAAAATAGTCATTCTATTCTGCCCAGGGATGCAGACCGACAGGGCAGTCACATTTGGAGACATCAGTGAAGCCAGTGGCACTGACCAATGAAAATGTCCCAGGGAAAGCTGCGGACGCCAGGGAACAGCTCGCCCATCATCTTCCAAATGGCCTTCCCTGCTGCTGAATGTAAATGGCCTTTAGATCAGGCTCTCCTCTTTGGTTTCTGTATCCTCTTTTCTCTTGGGTATCCTTTTAGTGTGAATTAAGAATATGATGAGGCCATTTGTGACTACAGTATCTGAGTTAACCAACCATTCACTGGGTGAGAGTTACCTGCCATTCCTCCTCTACTGGGAACACTAGCATTCTGATCTGTTGGGCTAGCTAGTTAGATATGTCCACCTGTACATCTGCTTATGACTATCTTGAAAACTACCTTCATACCGAAAAGAAAGAACGCAATGCTGCACTTACCCTGCAGGACTGAGAACCTGACAAATTCAACTAATTTTTGTTATCCTACGTTTGATGCAATAATCTTTAGTCTGTTTTGTTTCATGGGCAACCTACACTTATAGCAAACCAGAATCAACATTCTTCTGTTTAGGTCTCCTTTGGGAGACCGAGGTAAGTGGATTGCCTGAGCCCCCAGGTTCGACACCAGCCCGGGCAACTTGGTGAGACCTCAGTCGCAGAAGCAAACGGGGGGTAGGGGAGCGACTCGACAGCACCTTGGGTGATAAGCAGAGAAATGCAAGGTGCTCTGATATTTTCCTGAAAATACTATCCACCCACCTTCGCGAGGCATTCAAGGCCCTTGTGTGATCAGACCCAACCCACCTTCTTTCCCTTCCCTCAAAGCGGGGGCTTGCTTCTTTCATATCTCGACTTCTTTGCTCAACTGGTTTCCAGACTGCGAGCAGAATATCTCCCTACCCGCTCCAGCCCTCTGGGTGTCCTTGTTAAAACATTAGCTAGGTATTGTCCCTGCCTTCTGGCTTCAAGCCTTTTGAGACTTCATCTCTACCTTTCTTCAAGTCTAGCCAAGTACTCACACAAAGCAGGAGTTCAGTAAACCTTGTTCAAATAGAAAACTACTTTATTGTTATTATTTGTTTATTTTTTTTTATTATAATAACAAGGCATGGTTTTTCTATGTTGCCCAAGGTGGTCTTGAACTCCTGGGCTCAAGTGATCCTCCCAACTCGGCCTCCCAAAGTGCTGGAAATACAGGTGTGAGTCACCATGCCCTGCCAAAGGAAACTACTTTTTAAACAAACTACATTATTTATTTATTTGTTTGTTTGTTTGTTTGAGTTGGAGTCTCGTGCATTCACCCAGGCTAGAGTGCAGTGGTATGCACGCTCACGGCCACCCCAGCATCGACCAGCTGGACTTCAGTGATCTTTCTGCCTTAGCCTTCCAAGTAGCCGGAACTACAGATGTGCGCTACCACGCCCAGTTATTTTTAAATTTTATTGTAGAGACGAGGTCTCGCCAAGTTACCCAGGCTGGTCTCGAACCTGCGGGCTCAGGCAATCCACTCACCTTGGTCTCCCAAAGTGCTGGGATTACAGTTTGAGCCATCGAGCCCAGCCTACTTTTTTTTTTTTTTTTTTAGTTAAGATCTCATTTTGCCACCCAGGCTGAAGTTCAGTGGTATCATCATGGCCCACTGCAGTTTCGAATTCCTGGGCTCAGGCCTCAGCCTCCCAAGTAGCTGGGATTACAGGTGCATGCCTCCATGCTTGGCTAATTTTTTTTTTGTAGAGAAGAAGTCTTGCTATGTTGCCCAAGCTGGTCCTGAACTCTTGAGCTCAAGTAATCCTCCAGCCGTGGCCTTCCAAAGTGCTGGGATTATAGATGTGAGCCACCATGCCCAGCCATGAACTTCCTTTTAAAACAAAGTGTACAATCACTGTTTCTAGGGATTTTCAAACAATTCTACTAAGTTAGAGATTCTCCTCCCTTGGCTAAGAAAGTAGCATAATATTTATTTTTTTACAAATTTTAGTTTTTAAGTAACATACAGCTTGAAAGATTTTCCTCAAATGCTACTTTTGAAATTTCTGCTGTAGTTCAAATGGGATCTATAAGGTGGCTCAATATTCCATAGAAGTTCTTAGTCAAAAAGTTTCTAAAATTACGTATTAAATAGCCAGTTGTTTAAAGATTTACCTACAATTTAGCCAAAATGTTCTCACACTTTGCATTTTTAATAACAAGTACATCAATGAAAAATTACCTTGTCAAAATTAGTTGAAAGCTGAAATTTCTTCTGTGTGACTTTTCTCAAAGTATCTGGGAAAAAAGTCACAAAACAATAAAATTATTTTTTCAGTAAAAATATAAAATACATATTTAGAAAAAAGAGGTCTGTGTATGCTTACAAATTATTACACCTATCTATATACATTATTCTTATAATTTGATTTCCTATTTCTTTCTTTCTTTTTTTTTTTTTTTTTGAGTTGGAGTCTCACTTTGTTGCCCTGACTGGAGTGCAGTGGCCGCTTCCAGCCACCACAACCTCGACCTGCTGGGCTCCAGCGATCCTTCCACCTCAGCCTTCCAAGTAGCTGGAATTACAGGCATGCGCTACCACGCCCGGTTGATTTTTTGATTTATTGTAGAGATGAGGTCTCGCTGCCCAGGCGGGTCTCGAACCCGCGGGCTCAGGCAATTCACTCACCTCAGCCTCCCAAAGGCGCGGGATTACACCTGGGAGAGGCCACTGCGCTCCAGTCTGGGTGACAGAGTGAGACTCCAACTCAAAAAACAAAACAAAACAAAACAAAACAATAACAATCACCGATAAAAAAGACACTGAAATGACCAAATTACTAAATCTAAATTACTAAGTCTTAATTATCTGGAACCACAAAAGCAATTTATTTTTCAATAATACCACATTTGCATGGTATTTTACAAAGAAAGGAAACCTTAAAATTAATCCAATACTAGAATTTTTAACACAAGAAATCCCTCTCTTCCCATTTCTAGGCAGTACACAAAAACTCTGAAATTTTGTACAAAACTGAACTTATCCATACATACTCATTTTGAGCATTTTCAAATTCTCACATAGGTCTGTGACCAACCAATTAAGAGCCACCTCTTATTCCGAGAATGATATGACACCAGACAACTGAGGCCCAGACAGAGAGTGGCTTGCCTAAGAATCACACAGTGAGTTGTGAGAGGGCTAGACCAAGACCCTGGGCTTTCTTCTCCTGTCCAAGTGCCTTCCTTCCCATCACATTGCACACCGTCTCTCATCCAGGAATGATTTTCTGCATGCTACGACTTACACCCATCACACCTCAAGTTAGGTGTTGGGGTTAGGGTTAGGGAAAAACATCTGAAAAGATGTCCAGATTAGCATACAGGAAAACAAAGCAAACCACTTCCCCACAGGGTTTTCAGTAAAACAACTTTGCTCCTCTACAGCTGTAGACACAAGCTGATGTTTGAAGATTATGCTGTTGGAAGAGAGATTTCAAACCTGTAGGTACCTGGGAACCCCAGTAGTTCATCCAAGCACCTCAGGGGCTACCCAGGGATTGGAAGGACCTGAGGGTACCCAACCCCACAGACTGCCTTTCCCTTCAACCACTCAGCGGTAGTTTGGTCTATTTCATAGATTAGGGTTCTGCTTAAAATTTCACTGGCTGAAAGGGTCTACTGTTGATTAAAAAAATAAAGGATTATAAATCTTCTATTAAAATACATTTAGTTACACAGTCACAAAATCCTGCATATGAAAAAAGATCCATTCATAGTGGAAGAAGTGGGGGGAAGGGGGACGTGTAGATGATGAGAAATTACTTAATGGATACAATGTTCATTATGCAGGTGATGGATATCATAAAAGCCCTGACTTCACCACTATGCAATCTATCCACGTTAACAAAATTACACTTGTATTCCATAAATTTATACAAATAAAATTTTAAAATAGAGTCGAAAACAGATCAATGGATGCTAATGTATCAAAGTATCAAAAATTCATTCATATGAGTTCCAGATTCCACATTGCAAGTTGCCTTCGAAAACTAACACTTGAGTTTTGGTGTGGAAAGAAAAGCATCCACAATTATCTGAAGAGACTACTAAAACTCTCCCTTTTACAACTACATATCTCTGTGAGACTGGATGTTCCTATTACATGTACTTCAACCAAACTAAAAGATAGGTCCTCAACAGACCAAATCCAGACACAGATAATGAAAAATCCAGCTGACTTGCACCAAGCCAGATGTTAAAGAGATCTGAAGGGATATGAAAACCAATGCCACTCTTTGCACTATTTTTGCTTTTAGAAAATGAAGTTATTGTTAACAAAATCATGTTATTTATAGAAAGGGCTTATCACCAGCATTTTTAAACGAACTAACAAATATGCATTAAAATGTTCTCCATTTTATCTTCAAATATGCTAAAAGCTGATAGGCATAAACAAAAACTCTGTGGGTCCTTGAATAACTTTCAAGGGTCAAAGGGGGTCTCTGAGACCCACAGGGTGGGAGACTTTCTGGTCTGAGCCAAGTAGCATATCCCAGTCCCTCTTACCTCCTCCATGTGTTTGGTTTGGGAGTCAGCAAACAATTCAGCTTTAGCCAACAGGAGATAGACTCAAATCTTGGTTTTTTGAGGGGGAAAATGTTCACCAATACCCACCCCCCCACACACACTCCTGGTCCTGGATCTGTGGTGGAAAAGACATTGGTTTGGAGCCACGGTCAAGCTTAAGGTGAGAACCAGTGTCAAAACTCCTGGCAACACTACTGAAGCCCTGTTTTGTGTTTTTTTAACTGCACGTGCTGAGGAGGCAGGGGTTTGTACTGTAGCCCAGAAGGTATAGAAAACAAGGTGGCTCAGCCTGTAATCCCGCGCCTTTGGGAGGCTGAGGTGAGTGGATTGCCTGAGCCCGCGGGTTCAAGACCCGCCTGGGCAGCGAGACCTCATCTCTACAATAAATAAAAAAATCAGCCAGGCGTGGTAGCACATGCCTGTAATTCCGGCTACTTGGAAGGCTGAGGCGGAAGGATCGCCGGAGCCCGACAGGTCGAGGCTGTGGTGGCCGGGAGCGGCCACTGCACTCCAGTCTGGGCGACAGAGTGAGACTCCAACTCAAAAAAAAAAAAAAGAAAGAAAAGAAAACAAGGGCTGCCTGCTCTTGAGGGTGCATGGTTGTCACTGCAGAGGTGCATCTTTCTATATCCTGCTGCTGCTTGTGTTGACCTTTCTCTCTGCTTCCTGCCACTCTTCCACAGTGTGGGTCCTGGGAGTGAGCATCCCTGACTGCAAGCCTCATGACGGGCCTTCTGTGAAGAGCAACCAAGTCTGCAAAAACTAGTTCTGGAAGTCAGGGCCTGTCTGTCTATCCCTGTCTCTCTCACACACATACACCACCCCTGCCCCAGCCCCCAAGTCAGGGTACAGCAGTTGCAGAAAGTCTTCAGTTACATGGGATTCTATTGCATCCTCTCACTGCACTTTGACCCGGCTCTATTCATTGCACATGTGGCTGGAGCTTCTCAGATAGGTTGTGTGTGAGTGCGCACACGCATGTGTGTATTTCTCTATGAGATTTGCGATGTCTGAGCCACAGAAGATAAAATACGAAAAGTCCGTGTTAGTATCCGTGTGTGATAGGGCCATTTTCCTTATCTTAGTTAAAACTCATCTTTGATTAAGATATTTCTATTCCCTAATTGGCTTATTTTGATCCATGTTCTGGCCCAAGATAGGCCTAGCGAAATTCCACCCTTGTAATGTTCTCTTGTAAAGTCAATAGAGAATTTAAAATCCCCGGTTGTTTGCAGTTGATTTATCAGACTTGTGCCAAGCTTAAGTGCTCTTGGAAAGATTCTGCTGATAATATCTACAAGTCGGCCCTCTTGGGTACTTGTGTTTACTCGGCAAATGTGACTAATTAAGAGTGTAAATAGTGTTAAGTGCCTCTCTGTGGAGAGACCACAGAGTTGCTCTTTTGCCTTCAGTGGCACCACTTTAAACACACGTGGTTGGGGGTCTCGTGCATGGCTCTGTGCTAAGGAGGATTAATCTGTTAATTCAAGTGTTAAATCAACACTGATCAAGGTAAAAGAGGTTATTTATATTTTTCTAAAAGTATCAGGTTTGCACATAGAATAAAATGAATTCAAATTCAAGTTAGAGACTTGCAAAAACTAGGCTTGAACATCTAATTAAAATTCAATTATAAGTGTTCATTTCCAGGCATGTTTTTCTGTAGGCACTGACAAACAAATATGGCAGCCTGCTTAGTCTAGACCAAATCTTGAGGGGGAAAAGGCAGTGGACTCCACATAAAACACAGATTCAGGCAGTTCACAAAGTGTTGATTGACTCCCTAGAGTGCTGGCATTACACAGGGTGTGCAAGATCATTTCATCCAAAGAAAAGTGTTGTGCACAGTGCCTGCTATGTAGGCACTGACACAGACATACTAGTGTGTTTGGCCTCCACTCTGGTATCCCACAGCCTTCAATTCGCTCGTCCCCTCTTCTGGTGGTGTAGAACACAAGTGCTTGGCTGTCTGTGTGTTACCTGTTCCTCCTTGGCCCACTGCCGGACTCAATTCTCTGGGTCCCTTTGCTGTCAAGACCATGAGACTTGAGTTCTGGCCAGTGGAATGTGGGTAAATGCGTATGCATACCACGTCCAGTGCCGGCCCCTGAAACCTCCTAAAAGATCCTTCCCACACGCCCTCTTTACTCATCACTCAGACAAATCCTCTTGAATGAAGATCCAGTGAAAAATTCTGGAGTCTAAGGAGCTGCCAGAACCATTAGATAGAGTGAGCTAGGGTCTCCAGACCATTCCACCCAACTCATTGCACTCTCTATAGTGGACAGAGCAGCGAGTGATAAATATTTTTTACTGAGACTTGAGCTTGTTTGTTATAGCAAATGGCATTACCTACCCTAGCTAAAATAAGGCTTACCTTATAAGATCCCTAGCATTTTCTAGCTGCATGCCACCTCTAACTATAGCCTATCCTGCCAATTTGACCAAAGAATGAGAAAAAAACTCATTTCTTCCTCAGGAAGAATGTACACACATGACACATGCAGAGAGAGAGAGAGAGATGTGGAGAAACCTATAGGTCGGCACAAACATAAAGCAAGATTTTAAAAGATATCTTCAGCCATTGCCAGACCATCGCCACCATTGTCTTGCTAAGTCATGGAGTGGCCACATGCTCTTTGAGCTATGACCTGGCCATGTTTTCTTAAACTTTGGCCCCCTTCCCTACCTTGAGGAGGTGAATCTCC